TGAAGACTTGCTGGCTTTGCACTTGCTGTAGCTGTGGCTGACCTTGGCTCCTATTGCCCTTCTGGGTGTTTCTGCTGTTGCTCTAGAACTACTTGTTCTAGTTTTGTTCCTCTAGCCTTCTGCAGAGGTCATTGTCAGATATGTAATACTTCTCAAATTCATTGTAAAGGTCTTCAATGGTTCGTGGCTTTTCCCTGGCTAAATGAGCTGCGAAGGGTCCTATGAGAAGGCCTTTGATTGCTGCTTCGATAGCGACGTCCCCTGGGACATTGGATGCTTTGGCTTTCATTTGCACGAATTTCTAGAAGTAGTCATTTAAGGCTTCTCTTTGATTCTGCTTGCATTGAAATAGGTCCATGGAAGTCAAGGATTCACTTATGAACCCCTTGAAATTTGCTAAGATCTTGTCACGAAGGTCTTCCCATGAATAGACGGAACTTGACTTTAGCATTGAATACCAGGCCAGTGCGTCGCCTTTAGCTGCCATGATGAAAGATTTGGCTAGCACCGCTTCATTTCTACTAGCGGAAGCTACTGCTGCCTCAAAGCTAATGATGAATTGTCGTGGGTCTGATCTTCCATTGAATTTGGGCAAGGTGATGGGTTTGTAGGAGGGGGGCCAGGGTGAGCTCTGGATGCCTTCAGATAGTGGTGATTTGGAATCGATGGTCTGTTGGTTTGTGGCGAAGTGTAGGGTGTGTCGAAGGTTGATTGGGCTATGGTGCATGGCGGGGGGTTGGGTTGCCTTTGATTTGCTAAGTGGAGCTGGTTGGAAGTGTTGAAGTTAGATTGCAAAGGCTGCATACTTTGTATCTCGGCCTGTAGGACGGCTAGCTGGTGCCTGATCTCCATTGCTTGAGCTGATGCTTGGGTTGCCCGTTGATTTGCGGCAAAAGCTGCTGCGACCCTATCTCTTTCTTGCTACATGCTCTGCAACTGAACCTGTAGTTGTTGAAGCTCTTGTTTCGGAGTGGTACTTGGGGCTTGTTGCTCCTCGGATGTCGGAGGTTGGTCTTCGACCGCTGGCTCTTCTTCAACTTGATCTTCTGGGATGCTAGCATAGGTGCTGCGGGCACTACGCCTAGGTTGTCCTCTTGTTAAGGGCTCTGCGGCAATCCTAGCAGAGGCTGCTCTCTTTCTTTCCATTGTGGGTCTTGCTTGGCTAACACGTGGTGGGCGCCAATGTCAAAAAACATGATTTCCAGCAGCCGGGACAAAGAAGGATGACGAATGCCTTCGCCCGGTCTAGAGCCCTGGGCGAAGGTGAGAGTAATGAGAGGTGTGCCCGATCCTGACTAGGGATGTATTAATGTCTCCCTTTTATAGGTCTCTGTCTGCTAGAGCTACTCCTTATATTTTCTACCCCTCGTCGGTTACAGTACATTCCCGGAATATTCCTACGCTATTACATGCCTCCTGGGGCAATTTGGGTATCTTCTTTACTTTACCGCCTTTGCTTGTTGAGCCACTGTCGATGACCCATCACCGGCTCATAGCCCAGTAACGCCGCCGAGTGGGGGCTTGACCTGATTCTGGGGCCTCCGCCCGAGAAGCCTTCGCCGAAGCTTCCCGACCTTCGCTTCTGGAGCCCGAGCCGTAGCCTTTGCCTATGCCACGAGAGCCTCCGCCCCCGACCATGTCCTGGCGCCTTCGCCGTAGCTCCCTGGCCTTCGCCTCCCGTAATCTCCTGAGCAAAGGCCTATGGCTCCTTTCCCTACACACTGTTCATAAAGCTCATTAGCTGTTCGTTTTTATAGAGGTTGCGAACTTTGTCCTCCGCAACTCGTATCCATGTCCCAACAACCCCTGTCATTGCATAGTAACAACGACCAACAAGTATATAGCATCTGGGTATAACCCGAAGTTAAAGCATAGAAATAGGCTCAAACTGAAACTTTGAAGGGACAACACCCACAAACACACCACTTACATCAACCAAACTCCTCTCTCATCTTTAAGAAACCAACCCACTTTCCCTGCTGAATAACATTCTCCATCGGCACAAAATCCACAAGGAGACCTTTTGCTTCAGCTGGAGAACCAGAAGTCCAGTCCAGCGCCTTGTTGGACAAGCATTCATCACTCCTACCTTTCACTTGTTTTAGCTAATCCTTAGTGGTCTTGTGGCCAAAGCTTTCAGCGTCAACTTTGTGGTATGGTACTCCACCCTCATCTCTGTTGGACCGAGGGTAGTCCACCTTTGTAACATGCCAACGATCGTTGTTAGCAAGGACTGCTCATTTTTCCATTGGGAGCCCTCAAAACACAAATTATTCCTTAATTTCCAAAGCCCCCACAGGGCTGCAGCACAAAAAACATTCTCTACCATAAACTTCTTCTCGACCACATCTGGCCTATTGAAAGGATATCTATACCTAAATTTCTTCCTAGGATTTCAGAAACACCACACCACAGCTACATGGCAACCACACAATCAAAAAAGAGAAGACCAACATGTTCATTCTCCTCACAAAAGAAACATGACATGTGATCTACTTTCCTGTGGACACTAAGGTTGTCTCTAGTTAGCACCTTGCTTTTAGACAACAAACATAGGAAAAATTGCACTCCAGGTGGAATTTTAAGGTTCCACACATGAGGAACATGAACTGGCATAATGCCTCTAAAATTGATGATTTTATAGAGGGGCTGAAAGGAGTAAACTCCATTTGAATTAAACAACCAGATCAAGGAGTCCTCATCATCAGTGAACACAATGGTAGAAGCCAGCTGCACTACCTCTAACCAAAGGTTCATAAGCCAACTATCAACCCCTCTTCTAAAGGTACACTTAAGGTTTGTACCATCCCATAGATGAAAGATAGTTTGTGACTTCTCATTAACTAATAAAACATAAATCTCCCAAAACTAAATAGGTAGACTAGAAGGACCCAACCAATTGTCCTCCCAGAATTTAACTTTTTTATCATTCTCTATCTTCCACTTGTAACCCATTTTTGTAGCAGTAGCTGCCCAAATCATACCTTTGAAAAAGCTAGAAGTACCAGAGGTCCCACTATAGAAGATATTTGGGCTCTCAGTATTATATTTATGATCAATTATTTGTTTCCACAACTTGTTACCATCTATATTGTATCTCCTAGTCCAAGAAGCTAGGAGACAAACATTCAAGTCTCTCAAATTAGGAATTCCCAAACCCCAATACTCCTTCATCAAACTAATAGTTTCCCCAATTGACTAGATGGAACTTATGGGCACCTTCATTGTCATTCCACAAACAGTTTGCCATATGAGAGTGGATGACTTTAATTGCCCACTTGGGAAACTTGAGGAAAGAAAGAAGGTATATATAGGAATACTGGATAGACAAGTCTTAAGTAGCACAATCCTAGCTGCAAAAGACAATAATTTGCCTCTCCACCCTGCAATTTTTTTCAGTATCTTATCAACTAAAGGTTTGATATCTTCCCTTCTAAGCTTTTAATAGTGTATGGGAACACCTAGGTAATTAATAGGCAAGGATCCTAAGGGACAAGCGAAAATATGATTAATATCATGGGCTAACTCCTCACTCAGATTCATCGGTATGAGCTCACTCTGATGAAAGTTCACCCTCATGCCTCCAAACTGCAAGACTACTACCAACTATGGAGTTCAGCGGAGGGTTTTGGTTGTGGCATGCCGGCATCTGTTGCAAGTGCAAAGGGGTGTGGCAAGCATTTTCTTGGGGACTACCTTCAGTGGCTTGTATCTGTTGGGTTTGGCTCTGGTCCATGTTGACCGGCACGCGATTGCGACTAGCCACACATGACAGTGAACGCCTCACTGCCGCTGCGACAACAAACGGATGGCGGCTCGTTGAGGACGACAACTTATGTGTAAATGCTCGTGGCTTCTCTAGAAATTTGAGGGACGACATTGTGCAAGATGTCGCTCTTCTCTAGAAGCATGGTGCAAGAACAAGGTGTGGGTTCACACGGTGGCTGGTGCTATGTGTAGGACGGATGCGGCCCTTGTACGCTAGCGTGGGCCGATAGGTCACTCATACCTATGACCTCATTAGTGCCACAACGATCTCCAACTAGCGGTGGTTTGCTGCAGTACTTGCCTATGGCAAGCCACAGTGTAGCTGGTTTGGGGCATGAGCATGGGGGGTCATCGAGCGAAGGTCCTATGACTGTGGCCGACAATGGTGTCTCGCCTTGGTGTCACTTCCCTTGTTGGAGGCATCGTGGTAAGGCCCCCTCACCCTCTAAGAGTTTGGTTGAAAAACTTTGGTTCTCCTGTCAGTGTTGACGGCATCTGTGGACGTCGTTTCCTGTCTCATTGGAGGCATTGCTGTGGAAAACCTACTCCCGCCTTCTAGTTTACTTTGCTTGTTCACTGTGGTGTGCCAGGCGGCGTTTGACGACTGTTGCTTCTGAGGTTCATTGGTGTTTGTGTTTCTTGTGGTGGTGGTTTCATTGTCGCCTCCTTCGTGAGGGTGTTGTTTTCGTTTTTTATCATTATAAAACACTTCTTCCCTATTAATATATGTTCGCTAGGCTCTTGCCGCTGACTCTTCGAAAAAATATCGAGACATATAGTAAAAACAATGTATCGAGAAAACTAAAATATCTTATAATATGAAACAGAGGGAGTAATAAGTAGCATAATATCCATACACAATGAAGATAATCTTACATTTCAGTTTAGTGCCACTATTTACTCCCTTCATTACAAATTATAAGACGTTCTGGCTTTACTATATTTATAATTTTTGCTATGTACTTATATATACACTATATTTAGATATATAGTAAAAGTAATGTATTTAGAAAAGTCAAAACATCTTATAATTTGTAATCGAGGAGAGTACTTATAAAGTCACGGAATATATAAGACATTCTGACATCACTAGTAATAATCTCATTCGTACTAATTAACTATACGTGTACGTGTCCCGCGTTGAATTATATGACATGTGATACAACATGAACGTAACCATCAAAATACGGGAGGACGAGCAGATGTGTATGTTCATTCGACCCCTCAATTCTTCAGAAAGTCTCGCAGTTGGCCGCCTGGAAGGACAGCACCGATTTGTCCAGGTCGTACCGGATGTGGTAGTCCATCTGCATGATGTTGCCGACAATGGACGTGTGGCTGGGCGAGCTCTGCACGATCCAGCAGCTCACGCTGTCGTCCACCGCCCTGAAGTAGTTCTCCGTCCTGAGGGCCATGTCGCCGCCGTCGAAGTGCAGCACCATGGACGGGAACACAGCGCCGGACGTCTGGAAGCAGACCTCGTACCCATCCGTGCCTGGAACCCTCGTGAGGTTCGTCGCCTGCGACAGGAGCGCCACCTTGGCGAGCGTGTACGCCGGCTCCGCCAGGAACGTCAGCGTGGTGCCGGAGTCGAAGATGATGCCGTGTCTCCCAGTCCCGGGCGTCGTCGCGGCGCCGATGGAGATACTAGTCAGGTTCACGGTGTAGTAGGTGGACGTCTTGAGGAGCGGCGTGGACTGGACGCCGGCGCCTGTCATCAGGTCGCCGGCGGCGCCGAACAAGAGAGGGCTCGACTTGGAGGTGTCGCTGGTGAGGCAGTAGGAGAAGGTGCCGACCTTGAGCTGCCTGACGAGGGACAGCCTCCCGCGGCCGAGCCCGACGAGGCCGGAGCCGGAGCCGTATCCGCCCTCCGACATGGTCGTGCAGCCGAAGCCGATGCCTCGCACGGAGTCGCCGCCGAGCGTGAAGGTCTCGCTCGCCATGTAACCCTGCGTGTAGTGGTGCGGGTCACTGGCGAGGCCGTATGAGTACTTGTAGTCGCACACCGCGCCGCTGGCGCTGGCGCTGGCGCCGGCACCGCCGCACGTCGCCAGCGACTGGGACTCCAGCGTACGGCAGAGGCCGCTGGAGCACGGCAGCTTGGAGAAAGACGACGACTTGTTTGGGTAGTAGGAAGGGGAGCCCTGCGGCGCGCACCGCTTGCACGCGCCGCACTTGGCCCAGATGAGGTCGCTGCCGGTGTCGGCGAGGGCCGACAGCTGCTGCGGCGGCGTGCCCATGGAGAAGGTCATGTCGTATGCGCCGACGCCGCTGTCCAACTGCAGCGGCGTCTGCGCGCTCCCTGACCCTGAGGCTGCTGCGTCAAGCAGCCGGGCGGCGAGGATGGACAGCCGTTGGCGAGACTTGTGCGCGGCCCGCGTTAGGTTGATGACCGGTTCGTTGCAGGTCATGGTGGCACGGAAGAAGCCTCGGCGTTCGGAGTAGGCCGGAGGAGCGGCGAGGAGGAAGCACATCGTCACGAGAACGAGGATGGCCGATCTTGTCGTCGCCATTTCTGGACACCAAAGGATTTCTACCTGCTCTGATGATGACGACGATGATGGCTAGGAACGAGTATGTATATATAGATTCAGGAGTCCACGATGCCAACAAGTGTGTACAATCGTACGTGATTTGCCTTTACACAAAAAGACCACGCGTAGCGTGTTATCCACGGCATTTGGAAAACCGGACACAAATAACAATGATGAAATGATGAATTCCTTGTAACGACATTGCAAATGGAGTATACCAACTCGCAGTACACGCTGGGCTATCCCATGGAACACTTCAAGTGTGAAGCCGTGTGTATTACTAAGGCATCTTTTAGCATATCTCAACTTCACTAGTTAAACTATTTTTGAACAGCTTTGTTAATAAATAAGCTGAGCTGTTTTAGAAAAATTGTTGTGCAAAACATTTCACCAATAACTTCATGCATGGCTGAGAGAGAAATTAGGAAGAGAGCTGTGTAAAACTACTTTTTTCACCTTCATCTTTATCTATTCCTTTGTGAGAGCATAAAAATAAGCTTCACCTCATGAGCTGTTTTGAAAAAGAGGTGTTTAACAAAAAAAAAAAACAGACAGCTTATGAAGCAGTGGTGGAACTAGCGGGGCTAGCAGGGGCCAGGCCCCCCCTAACATCTGACAAACTTTTACACTATGCCAAATTTGCACATCACTGTCGGCATCATCACTGTCAGATTTGTGAGAACCGGCAGTGATGTACCTTCATGGTCGGTTATGAGCTTGAAAATGAAAAAATGATTGGGGCTGAGCTAAAATCGGCAGTAAAGGACCACATCATTGCCGGTTTGTGGCTTGAACCGGCAGTGTTTTGGCGGTCACTCATCACTGCCGGTTTAAGCCAAGAGCCGACAGTGATTGGGTTCTATCACTGTCGGTTCTAGCCAAGAACCGACGGTGATAAGCCTACAACACAAAAAGGCTGCAGCCGTCCTCTCCTTCCTCCTCTCTTCTATCCCGAGAACAGAGGCGCGCGTTTGGACCCTTCCCTCTATTGTTGCGGCTGCTCTTCACCTTGAAGCTAATGCTTGGATTTTGAAGAATGGCTTGATCTTTTTGCTTTAAGGTTAGTAACAAACATCCACTCCTTTGATTTTGTTGCTTAATTAGCTTCGTTTTGATAGCTACATTGCTTGATTCTCATTCTAATTCTTTCTCCATTCTAGAGAGCACTTTTCCAATTAGACATTTATGCAAAGCTCAAATTATGGTGAATCCATCATCCAAACGGTTGGTGTCTATGAACACATTTAAATTCCTAGCTAATTATTCTATGGTGGTCAAAATCATCATTGTTAGTATGTGATGCTATAATTAGTTCTTAGAAGTAGAGTAGAATAGATGTTCTTCATTATTGCGCAATAAATTTTTTTTACTACAATTTTCAATTTACAGAGCCGGGGTTACCAATTTCAATTTTCCAATAATTAGTGTACAATAATGTTTTCCAAAAATAGTACTTTCGAGCTACAATTGTTGTTCATGAAGCTCGATTTCTTATTAATTCTTTGTAATTACTGTCTCAGTATTTTTTTGTGCAGAGATGGATCGAGAGTGGATGCATCTGTCCCGAACGGACAAGCGGTACATGCATGGCGTCAGCTAGTTTATCACCGATGCCAAAGCCCATGCTGGGAATGGGAACCCTGTCTTCTGCCCATGCAAAGATTGCAAGAATCATAGGAACTTTTGTCAAATTGAGTCTATACGATCACACTTGATTACCAGGGGTTCATGCCAAACTATACGATATGGACTATGCATGGCGAGGTGGTGTGAATGTTCTGCAGGAAAACGATGATGATGTGGACATGCCTGACGTAGCCATCCACGATGCTGACGAGGAACCCGGTGTCAATACGGAATCTATGGCCATAGTTAATAATGTGTTTAGGAACACGCTAGCTGACGACACCAAGGATAATGATGGCATTTCTCAGCTGCTACATAATATAGAGACCGGATGTCTTAGTGAAAGACAGCTGAGAAAGCTAGAGAAAATAAGACAATATGGCAAAACACTATTGTATAGGGATTGTCCAATGAGCAAATTGGAAGCCGACATCTTGCTGTTAGAGTTCAAATCGACAAACAGATTGAGTGATAAAGGCTTCGATCAGTTGTTAGGTATAATAAGGAAAATACTCCCAGAAAAAAACGAGTTGCCAGAAAAGACATACTTGGCCAAGCAAATGATCTACCCCATCGGTCTCGAGGTTGAAAAAATCCACGCGTATTCCAATGATTGCATATTGTACCGTGGAGAAAAATACAAAGACTTGGACAAGTGCCCCAAGTGTGAAGCTCCACGGTACAAGGAAGGGCCATCAGATGAGGGTACCAAGACCAAAGGAGGTTCCGTAAAGGTCGTTTGGTATTTTCCTATAGCTCCCCGGGTGCATAGGCTGTTTGCATGTGCAAAGTCAGCCAACCTGTTGCGCTGGCATGGCGAAGAGCGTAAGAAAGATACAATGATGAGGCACCCCGCCGATGGGCATGACTGGAGGACTATCAATACTATATTCTATAAGGACATCGGTGGAGAGGTAAGGCACCTTTGGTTTGCTTTGAGCACAGATGGGATGAATCCTTTAGACCAGGTTAGAAGCAATCATAGCACCTAGCTAGTGACGCTCTATATATACAACCTTTCACCTTGGGTCTGTATGAAGCGGTCGTACATCTAGATGCCACTACCGATCCAAGGGCCAAGACAACCTAGGAATGACATCAATGCGTTTCTGGAACCAGTGATCGATGAACTAGTGGAGATGTTTGAAAAGAGTGTGCCGGATGTTTGGGACGAGTACAAAAAGGAACATGTCACGATCAAGGGAGTACTTATCACTACAATCATCGACCTGTCAGGTCGAGGTTCATTGTCCGGAGAGAAGACAAAAGGCTATACTGGATGTGTCGAGTGCTTGGACGACACCGATGCGGTAAATCTGCTAAATAATTCAAAGATAGTTTATATGGGACACCGTAGGTTCCTACCTAAGGATCACCCTTACCGCAGGAACAGAGAAGGTTTCAATGGTACTATTGAGAAACGCTTAGCTCCAAATTATCGAGACGGGCCTGCGATACTTCGAGAACTCAACAAACTAGAGGTTATCCTTGGGAAGGGGGACAATGCAGTAGCAGCGCCTGATGAGAGTATTTGGAAGAAACAATCTATATTCTAGAAACTACCTTACTAGCCATTTCTAAGTGTACGCCACTGTCTTGATCCCATGCACATCACTAAAAACATGTGCGCTAACACTCTTAACACCTTGATGGACACCGGGGGGACATCGAAGGATTCACTAGCCACATGCCTGGGCATGCAACACTTGGGAATCAGGAAGGAGCTGCATCCCATGGAGCTAGAGAATGGCCAGTTTGAACTTCCGGTTGCGTCATGGACATTGAAGAAGGAAGAAAAGCATGCGCTTATTTCTTTCTTCAATGAACTCAAAGTCCCGATGGGCTACTGTGCGAACCCGAAGAGGATAGTGAACATGAGAGAACTCAAGTTCAACTATGGCCCTATGAAGGCCCATGACTGTCATGTCATTATGACTCAGCTGCTCCCTATTGCCCTGTGGGGTATCCTCCCCCCAAAGGTCCGTGCCCCAATCATAAAGCTTTGCTCATTCTTCAATGCGATCTCAAAAAAGGTCATTGAAGTGTCCATGCTACAGCAGTTGCAGCGGGACATAGCTGAAACTCTCATTAGGCTTGAGATGCATTTCCCACCGACTTACTTTGATATCTCATTGCATCTGCTCATTCATCTTGTTGACCAAATTAGAGCCCTTGGCCCAATGTACCTGCATCAGATGTTCCCTTTCGAAAGATTGATGAAAGTTTTCAGGAGTTATGTTAGGAACAGATTCAGGCCAGAAGGGGGCATGGTTGAAGGATGGTCAATGGAGGAGGCCATTGAGTTCTGCACATATTATCTGGACATCAAAAGGGTCGGAGTTCCAAAATCTTGTCATGAGGGAAGACTACGTGGCAAAGGAACAATTGGGGAGAAATCTGTTACAGTAGACGACCTTGTTTCTTTCAGACAGGCATAGTTCGTTGTTCTCCAAGAAGCCAAGGGTGTGATGCCATACATTGACGAGCACAAGCAATTGCTGCAAACTCTGTATTCGAGCAGGTCACAGGCTTGGCTGGATAAAAAACATAAGGAGGAATTTGTCAACTGGTTACGACGTCGCTTGCTTGGAATAAAGTTGGGTAATCAACTCGATGCCTTAGCCAAGGGACCTTCGAGTACATATCCTAAGTACCAAGGGTATGAGATCAATGGATTCACATTTTACACAAAAAAGCAAGATGGAAAGAGCACATACCAAAATTGTGGTGTTCGTTTTGATGCTCACAACAAAAACGGCAACGTGCAGGCGACATACTATGGTTTCATAGAGGAGATATGGGAGCTAGCCTATGGTTCGTTGAAGGCAGCTCTTTTTCGCTGCAGTGCGCCTGGCTCGAGGAAATCAACACTGACAGCGAAGGATTCACTACCGTTGATCTCACTAAGACCGCATATAGAGACGACCCCTTCGTCCTTGCAAGAGATGTTATGCAAGTCTTCTATGCAAGGGACAACAAGACAAAAGGAAGGCTAAAAGTAGTCCTAGAAGGGAAAAGGAAGATTGTCGGTGTCGATGGAGTGACGGACGATGAAGACTACAGGGGCTATCAGGAAATGCCTCCATTCAGGGTGAACGTACCCCTACCTATCATTCAAGAGGGTGACGAACCTGCTTACGTACGGCTTGATCACAATGAGGCCCTCATTGTTGATGCACTTAAAGATAGTTAGATTATTGTTAACTATGTAATCATTATGCACATAACCGTGAAGGATGTTTGATCCTGATGAAACTCTCATCTCCTCTCTCCTCCTCGTTAATACTCTGCCAACTCAACAAATATGCCGATGTATCATTTCTAAACTTTACTCTCTGCATTTAAACACTAGC